CATGTTGGTGTGTCGAAAAACAGTTTGACAGCTGTAGTCTAGCACTTCCTTATTGTAACTTGATACAACATTCCATAAAGACAGTCGTGCCTCAGATTTATACTCCTCTCTGCTTCTGGTATTTCAGCTTTAATGGTTTATAGTGTCAACTCACATCTTGTTTGGATAATCTTAACTGACTGGTTAAATCAGAACAGTTTACATTCTGTTTCTCTTTCTGTCTCTGGTCACATTTTGTGTTGTGATTTGATGGGAGAGTACTTTGGAAATGCTGATTTGTTTTAATAAAGCTGGTATTTTATGCTTATGCTCTTGGAACTCTGAGTACTGTACTACTGAATTTGTGACCCGTTATAAACTTTTCTCCGTCTTTCATCAGGAAACCTTCAAAAACTGTTGAGTTGATTAGAGTCTGTCATGAAAGATCTGCATTACATTTTTGTGTACACAATAGCTCAAAACTGTGTCCAGTATCAGAAACAATCAGTACATGGGGACTTTTTTACCCCAGTTGTAATTAAAAGGTGCTCACAGGTCCTGGTAAAAAGCACACTGTGTGTGGAAGAAGAGAATTAAAGTTTTCAAGGTATCCAGTACAGAGGGGTAACGTCCTGTGCTCTAACGTCATGTCTGGAATGCCAGTTCTTCATTTGTCCCTGAATTTTTTTCCTGTGACCCTGAACTGATCTTTTTGAGTTTTATTTATCCTTTCTGTAAGAATCTGGTGTTCTTAGTACGTGCATAAGCAATAGCTGGGCGATTGGTATTTGTAGCTTCCCATTCATTTCAAGCTTTAGCATCTTCTGTAACTGTACAATATGTATTTCATCTCATTTTTTACTATGGCTCTGACTTCTAACACACTTAGAAGACTTAACCTCAGGAGTAGTAGAGAAATACCTTACACGGAAGGTAGTAGTGTAACTTTTAAAAAGCTTGTTTTTTATTTTACCAGTCGCTTTTCAGTGCACCAACAAAGAAGGGATCCATGCACTGTAGGAAAAGCATTTTTTTTTTAGATCTGATTTGTCAAGTTGGACAACAATTTTACCATCAAATATTTAAACAGTAATCATCATAATATATATCTGTGGTCAGTGGTTCCAAGCATTATCACATACCAGTCTCTGCTTCTGAAATTTATATCCTTAAGTTTTCAAGTGAGAAAACCAAACGGAATAGAGCTACTGGCAAGGGGTAGTACAGCTGCATGACAGCAGTGCTGTTGCCTGTTGGATATATAAAATTGTAAATTTAGCCAGTACAATGTCCGGTAGTGATTTATTTATGCAGAATAATTTCTGTTAAACAGAATGCCATGCCTTTACTTTGAGGAAGAAAGGTGTGTGTGTGTGTGTGTATATATTTGAATGAATGCCCACTCTTTTTGTTTGGTGGTTTGTTTTTGTTTTTTTTTTTTCCCCTGGTGCAGGAAAAGGAGAATGATGAGTGAGGTTAAGTGATATTGACATAAAGTTGATAATTACTTATTTAAATAAGTATCTGATTTAAACTAGAGAACTGCCTGGTTCCAGAAAATTGCAATTGTAAATAAGCAAGAATCCTACAACCAGAAACCTCTATTTTTTATTTATTTTTTTTAAATCTGAAGCATTCCCTGTTAAGTGTTGCTATCTAATGCTTCATTCAGTCTGTGCCTCAGGACAGGATGGAAAATATATGTGTTCAGCAGATATTCCTGATTCTTTGTGAGTGGTGAAGGATCACTGTTCGGAGTCGGTTCTGGCAGAGCCTTGGAACACACAGCTTGAGCTGCCTTTCCACTGCAGAGTCACTTGCCTTTGGCTGCCAGGGAGGAAATTGGGTCCTTTTGGTCTTTTCTGGTACAATGATTTAATTTACCTCTGGTTTTGTTGTGTTTATCCACTTACTGGGTCTTGGCTCCCATGAACCAAGTAGAAGCAGGGACTGTACCAAAGGTATGAGGCATTTCAAACTTGGGTATTGCCGCACCTGAGGTTTTGACATAATGGAGAGTTTGCAATGCAGTCACATCACAGCAAAATCTCTTAATCTCATTGTAGTATCTTCAGTTAACATATAACTAACCTGAGACATGGCCCATTGGTGTGCAGGAAGGAAATACCAAGTGTAGGTGCAAAACCCCCAAATTGTTTCCTGTTTCAAAGCACTGATTTCTTTTTGTTGTTAAAGATACCCCATCTTCTGAGTGGAACCAGGTTGGTGGGCTGGATTCACTGTATTCTTGTTACAGCATAGGCAGAGGTGTGCTTTAATGGCTGGGCTGGTCCAAGAGGTTAATATTAGTGTATCCATCACTATTGCTTTAAATTAGACTCACTTTTAGTGTTCGCTGTAGGAAATGGGCTGGGTTAACTGAACATGTTATTCCCTTCTGCCCCATCTAATTTCTTGGAATCTGTCCACAGACTAATCTAGGTGTATGTGGGTCCTTCAGGAGTTGTTCTTTTGGCAGTCCTTCTAATGACAAAACACAAGGATGCCAAAGAAGTGGCTATAATGTCTGTGCAACACTGAAAATGGTCATAAACAAAGAGAGCTTTTCACTGGTAAGCCAGAAGGAAAGAAAATGCTAATCTTGTGTAGTAGAAAATGTCAGATTTTATCTCTTTATCATAAAAATAGTTATCTTCTGACAACATATAAAAGTGCACCTGAAATTTTGTACATATTAAAACTGTCAGTGGTGTAAGAAAAGCAAATTATCATTTTAATCTTAAAAGCTTTGTGGAGGCAGAATAATAGTGCTCTCTCAACTGTCCTTAAAAGGTTATGTTGTTTTCTTTTCCTCATTTTTACCAGTGTGGAAAACTTGATGCTGTTTTGATGACGCTGAACTCTGCTATGGGAGAAAATAATCAAGATGCTAAAAGAAGCCGTAGTCTTTGGGAAGTGGATTTTTAATATGATACTCAAAGTATGGCAGAGTTTTCTGTAGTATATATTCATTCTGTTCAAAGGCATTAAAACATTATTAAACATGAGTAAGAAATGAGTGTGGTAGTCAAAAGATAGAAAAGAAAGTCTGCATGTGCAAGACTGTGTGAAATCATGTATAACGGTGTTAAAGTATCCAAATCTATATATGAAACTAGTTACACATTTGAAAATATGACCTAGAGGAGGCGCTTTTGCTGTGAACTTATTTAATTAGTTCGAATTTAGTATTGTTCTTGTAATAAATCACTGTAGCGGGAAATGAACTAACTGGTTTTGGTCCTGTTGTTCTTCAGCACCTTAAAACTGGTGGGCATCTGCCTGTGTTTCTAGATTACTAGTTGTGAGTTTTCCTGTTTCTTAAGGTCTTGCTTGCCGACTTCGAGTAGTTACTCAGAACTAGCTCAGTAAACTAGAGATAAGCATGAATGTACTGTGGCCAGGCAAATTAAAGGTTGGAGCAGTGTTCTGTTGCTGCTGGTGGCCACAGGCAGTCCCACTTGGAAAAGTTAAGAACAGGGCAAAATGTATGAACATCTTCAGTTTGCATGAGCTTGTTGTTTGTTTAATAAACCAGAATGGAGCTCTGTTGCAAGTGCCTGTCTCCCCTTAAGGTGATAGAAACTTCTTGCATTCGTGGTGTCCTTTAACAAGTGAATATATGCTACCCTTATTTGCAGGAAGGGCTGCTGCTGTCAGAAATTGCTTAAAGGTTTAAAAATTAAATTTCTTGAGTTCCCAGGTGTATCATTCAGTGGTTTTGAGCCTCTTCAAGCTTCATGCATAGAACACAGCAGTGTTACTTTTATAAGGATTATGCTGTGCTATAGAAGTTTAGGTCTTGATCAAGTCATAAAATACAAAATACCTTTCTTTTAACTCTTCTTGTTAAGCTGAGCATTGTCTCCTGGTTGATTGATTTGAATGAAAAGTTTATGGAGTTACCCTGATTATCCCCCCCCCTTTCTGATTTCCTTTATTATTACAAAAGCTACGAGAGGATACTTTTGACCTTATTTTCCGTTATTCTGATATTATTCTCAGTTACTCAAAATTTTCTAAGAAATTATGGTATCATTAAGATTTTGGTAGCATGTGTTTCATAAATCTGGATCTGTGATGCTTGTGCTTTGATGTGGTATAAAGGGCCACCTGATTTTTCTTCATTTAAAGAATGGAATCGGAAGATCACTGGTTGTGTCAAGAAAAACACAATTGAGGGAAGTTGAGGGAAGAGGAATGGGAAAGCATGGAGCATTCAGAAAAAAAATTCTTTGGTTGTTAGTGGTAAATGGATGCATAGTGTTTTGGCTTTTTTTCTGGGTGAAGTTTAATAGGTTGATTGGTTTTTGAGACTGGAACTTGGATACAGTGAGAGGGGGGAAAGAATACCATTTACTAAATGTTGGCTTAAGGTCGAAATAGTGAAAGTCAGGAAGTTCATTCCAAATCAGAGATAAAGTTTAAATACCTTGTATTGCTAACAGCATGAACAATGAAGCAATGGATCCTCCATCTCAGAACTTTTCAGTTTAAATGTGTGCCCTTATGGAAAATAGCCTTGGTCAAGGATAGATGACTGGAGTTAGTATGGGGGTGCTGCCTGAGCAGTTACATGGCTTGTATATAGGTGTATGGAATGGTTTAGCTAGGAAGTTCCATCACTCTGCTCTGTGTTATGTTGGTACAGCTGACTTGGAGTGCTTGAATGTTTTGTAATAAAGCTAAGTAAAGTGGGCTGGGAATTGCCGATAGGTTAAGATGGGCAACCCCTGGAGGGGTATGTGTTTTTCAGAAGTGGCTAAAAAATCCCGAAGCTGCTTACCCTGCATGTTGGCAAGTAATGGAATATCCTTCTGGAATCTCAGGTTTTAACTCTGAGTAAGTACTTACTGGTTGGCACATAAGTAGATGAAAGCTTTATATTGAAGGGTTTTGTTTTTTTCTTAGAGATTTGCATGGGATTTGTGTGATAAAAATATGATTATTCGAGGTGATAAATTTTAATTTGTGATAATAAACAGTATTTCTAATTTAGAATTTTTTTGTCTATTTTTCAGCTGCACTTATTAACCGGTACAACAGAAGAGTATCAGGTATGGTGTTTCTCTTTGTGTTTTAGTGTCGTGCTTGTGCAACTGATACTTGAGGTTGTTGGATCTGTGGCTCTTTCTTTGGTCTGTAGGCACAGATTTGTTTGTTTTCTACCTTAACCAATGTTAAACATGTTAATGAGGAACTGTTATGACCAGCAAATGCTTTTTGAAGTTTTTGGACAGCATTACATGAACAGCATGTTATGTATAGGTGAAAAGGGAGTTGTATTACTTTCACTTGAAGTGCAGTATGGATTGGTTTGCATAAATTACTTATTTAAATGTAACATTTAGCTGGTCTAGAAAGTTGTTACGGTTCTGATTTGAGCCGTATCTTTATAGAAATTGCCAGTTCAGTGATTTCTCTCTTGCTTTCAGTTGAAGTCTACCCATATTGTAACTTGCGTGTATGATCTGACATGTTCTTTGGTCAGATTATATGCACTATGAGAGTTATGGTGGGCACTGTTGTTAATATATCTCAAATATATAAATATATATGCAATAAATGCATATTTAATTTTATGTGCCTATGGAGTTCAGTTCCTTTATTACTAATTGCTTGGGTATGATTAAGGGTATGACTCTGCATTTATGCCACTGCATATAAGTAATTGTACATATAATGAGAACTTTATAACTCTGAAAAATTGACAGTGCTGGTAGTTTTGATATGTTATTATATGGGGGATTCAGGTGAGACAAAATTGGATCTTGAATGATGGAGTTTGATTCTCTGACAGTAAATAGTGGAAGTCATAGATTGTAGAGTATCTTAATATGGAGAGTCCCAAAACATTTTAATTTCTATGCTAATTAAACTAATCCATCCTTGAACCTGCTGATGGAATAAAATCTTACAAATAAGAAGTGGATACATCTCAGATTCAAACTGAAATAAAGGCTAAATTATTTTCTTTACATAGTTAAAAAGTTGAGCCTTAATTAGAGGGTGCTTGTAATCTTTTTGTGTCTTCAGTACTGAAATAGAACATGGGTGCTTTCAGAGTACTTAGCTATTCTTAGTTAAAAAAACAGGTTCCTTCATTGAAAGGGTCTAAAGGTTAATGTGAACAACTGAACAGCAAATGTAAAATTGAATTGCTAACATGCAATTAGATTAAGGATGTTCAGATGCTTAATAACATTGCTGCTCTAGGGAGAGCTAGAATAATTCAGTACAGTACATGTTAGAATTCTCATGGAGACAAACACTAACAGAATATGTATGTTCTACTACTTACTGTGTTAAATACATTAAACATATCTTGCCTATATTATTCTTGTCCAAAACAAGAAAGGATTTTCAGTTCCACATTTATCACATCATTGACCAAAAGTGGTGATACTTCTTTCATATTCCATAAATCATAGTAGCACATTCTTACATACTACTGCTTCTTTCTCACCCTGTAGTACTGAGAACAGGGGAATTCATCCTGCTCATTTATTCTCCCCATTTCTGCACCATTTGCTACTTGTTCATCTCCTAGGTTGATGTATTCTCTGAAGGGGGGGGGGGGGGGGGCGGGTAATAGTGTTGGCTGGCTTGGCATTAAGCTTTTCCAGTCCGTTCGACAGCTAAAAGGCTCTGCAGGGAATGCCATTTGCTTCTTGACCAGAAAACAGCTTTGTGTGCTGACCCGAGACTGAGCCAGCAAAGCAGAGCTCTGTGGGTGAGAAACTCTATAAACTGTGCAGGAGGGTCATCCTGGAAAAGGGGAACTTATCGAATCGTGTCCATGGAATTATTTATAGACGTGCAGAGTGGTAAAGTAGTGTTCTCATGAAGAGAAACAGTCTTTTCCATGAAATGCTAGGAGAGAAAGAGAAATTAGTGCTTGGTGTTCCCCAGAAATTCACCTGATGAATTACACATCTACTTGTGTATAGCATGTTTGGCCATGTAACATGTTGAGGTTCCATGATGTGCAAACAAACCCCAGTGTTGGTCAGTTCTAATTTGTATAAAAAGGTGGCGGCTGACTTGATTAAAATAGTGCTCTGCAGAATCAGAAGCTCTCCCTATATAGAAACTAAAAAGAAAAACAACCAACTCAACACAATAATTTTAAAATCTAGATACAGGATGCCATACACTGGTGCCATAGGCAATTTGAGTGCTAATTACCCAGTAGAACAGTTCTCTTGCTGCTGTTTTAAGTTAATTAGCAGCTTCTGAGCCTTCTGCTACTGTGAGTAATTCATGCTACATGTTTGCTGACTGACTCAGTCTGCCCAGGCTTGTGTTTGAATGGCCTGAAAACCATACAGATGCCTTCTTCCCAAGAGTTGGACTGTGTCGAACTTCATACGTCCTTGATTACATCTCTTGATCTTCCTCCTAAGCATAAGGGGCTCCTGACAAACTTTGTTAGACACTTCATTTCCTGCAGTGAAAGAGACTGCAGGGAATACTAGTGAGCATCTCAGCCCTTGGTTAGTGTCTACAGGGTGCAGGGAGGTGGGAGAAATCAGCGATAATTCCTTTTTTAAGTAATAATACCACAGTTATTTCAAAACTAGAGGGAACAGAGCATTGTTATTTGTCCGACTATAACAGCTGATATGTAACATTGAGGAGAATTTTGCTCCTGGCAGTATATGAGTGCAAGTTAATATTGGGTTTTGGAATGAAGAGTGCAACACCTACTATAGTTTCACTTGGGCATAGTTTCTCCTCTTTTAGTTCTAGTGTGTTGCAGAAAAGTAAAGTGTTTTTTTCTAGATTTTTGTATTGCCATTTCTAGGCACTTTGGATTGATTCCATGGAACACCCAGTCTCCAGCAGACTTCCTGACTTCTTCATGGGGTAGAAAAAAATCTGCCAAAATACTACACCTATACCATACTCGTGGGACAGAAGGTTTTAATCTGTTTCATCCAATTATTTCATAGAATCATCTAATCATTTAGGTTGAAACAGACCTTTAAGATCGAGTCCAACCATAACCTAAACAGCTTTGTAGTTCAAGAGAACGCTTAGTCACCTGGTATAATTAGGAGGAACATCATGTCATGATGGTGGCAATTTTAATTCTCCCTGGGACAAACTGACACGAATGAAGCACATCAAAAGTTATGTCCCACAACCTTCAGGATACCAAGCCCTGTCCCAAACACAGCAGAAAAAGCCCTGGTTAGTGCTCCTTTTCCTAAAGAGCACCACAGTGCCCCAAATTGCTCACCTTACCAAGAGGACAGAATCAAAAATGAAATCAGACATGCACATCTACCTTTTGTATGGATTATACAATTGAATTGTATAATCTAGGGAAGCAATATGTGATAGTTATTTCTCTAATATTTTATACTAGCAAAGTAACATGACTGTCAGGATCCATGGCTTTTGATTTTTCATGTTAATATAAAAAGTAATGAGGTGAACAAGACTCATTTAAGTTAGTCCCTTTGGTAGGGCAGCTTTCAGCAGAGACTCAGTGAAGTGAGAAGGATTGAAGCTGCTGTCCCTGGAATCAGGTGCTACGCCCTCTCCTAAGGTATTACTGGTCAATAAATATTTACATTTGTAGAGGATGATTTTGTTTGAATGTTACTGAATTCCTATGTATAGTGAAAGTGAACATTGATGGGGATGGTGACGTTTAACAGTGTCAGTGTCCCTAACAGATGTTGGGTTTGGAATCAGTATTTTGACGTTTCTCTTCTCTGTAGCAATCTGATATGACAGTATGCTTTGGGTTTGGCTTTGTTTTGATGTTTTGGGTTTTTTTTTTTGATTGTTGTGGGTTCCCCTTCCCCCCCATTTCATGTAATATTTTAACACGCTGTTTTTAGAGGATGTTGGTAAGGACTTTTGTATTTGAATAACGTGTAAAAATCAGTATTCCCTGACAGTTTCTGGCTTTTTCTTTCCTCATAAGATAAACTTCCCTAAGAGATTTGTATGACTGCTAGTACTTCAAAGTCACTGGTGGTTCTTTATTTTGACAATGGCGGACTCTTTACCTTGAGCTCTTCATTCTTCTGGCTCCTACTAAAGATGAGCAGTCATCTCATAAAATAGATATGTTGTCAAAGTCCGATATCCCTCTGGGCAGATACAGCATTTTCTTCACACCCTGACAAGCTGAGATGTCAGGATATGGATAATACTACACATAGTATTTTAGTAGCGTTTTAGTAGCTTTCAGCCTTTCAAAATGGCAGCTTTAAAATAAGTAATTTTCTAATCAAGTTTTTATATTAATTATTGCCATACAGTATGTTAGTATTTCGTAAAGAATAATGTTTTGGGATCCTGATAAATTAGGACATCTAAATAGTAGCAATGAAGCAAGAGGCAACACTTGTTTTGAGAGGTTGTTTTGAGTACTCTTTTGCAGGATACTGTCTACTACTTCAGTGATAAATTACATCACTTCAAACCATCACGGGAGGAAGACTGACTGTATTTCTCTGTGCCACACTCTTTGCTTTCTAACTACCAGACTATCTGATTACCAGAGGATGACTTGAAAATCATGATCTGACTTCTTCTCTTGCAGCTGCTTAATGAATTTCTATATTGATTATTCACCATTGTACCAAATTGATGGCTTCATAACTTCTGCTGAAAGGTTTTCAGGCAGATGATAAATTGTAAAAGACTTTCGAGTGCAAAACCCCACATTTATACAAATGGCACAAACAGCTTTCTTACTGCAACAACCTGATGCTTCTCTCCTTTTTTTTTTTTGTTAGTCCTAATGATTGCAAAACTGGTATCATAACTAGAGTGAAAATAATTCATTTTGAAAAATGTTGATATGAGCAAAAGCCAGGTGTGTGGGATGATGAGTGAAAGTGCTGATAAATTGTGTGGGTGCTCTTCTGTAGGAAAGTGCCTGAATCATTATTCATTAAAAAAAACCCTAACCTTGTTTTCTGTTTGCAATATTGGGACTTATTTAAAAATTCTTGGCATCTAATTGGCATCCAGTGAGTAATTAAAAGCTTATTTTTGGAAATTAACAGTTGTGACTTCACAATTACTTGGA